CCCCAAAACCCCAAAACCCCAAAACCCCAAAACCCCAAAACCCCGGTACATTTATTCCTGGTTGAAAATATCAATTACGCAAATTTATTCGGCTAGGGTCTTTGATCTGTTATAGAACCATTTAAGGTACGATTCTCTAGCGCAACCAGTTGTATATACATGCTTGTTATGGCCTGCTGAAACTTCAGGGAATATTGACTTAAAGTATCTGTTTGTAAGTGGAGTATCAAGAGGTTCTTTTGATGCATCATATGCAATACAACTTTCCTTAGCCCACTCTTTGCCTTCATCACCTAGATCTGTATAGAATCTTCCATGACAGGCATCAGTGAGGGCAATGGCTCTGACTCTCTCTATCATTGTTGATTCATTGTTGACAATGATCTCATGTGCTCATCCTCCACCTGCAGAGTGGGCAACAATAAATATCTCTTTTGCTGGACATACTCCCTTTTCTACGAACTTTGCCCAGCAATAATTAGAATGGTAGTTCATACCTCTGATTTTTGGATCCACTCTAACCTTGTCAGGAGTGTATGAGTAGTTTGGATTCACGACAAGAACTGAGAACCCATTCTCCTGAGCAAAATCTATATCAGGAATCATACTTCCAAGATCAAGGTTGTCGTTCATTCAAACACTTCTAGCCCAGTAGCCTGAGCGCACATCTCCAGTTCCTTGAATGAGGACTAATGCTCTTTCTGTGTTGGTCTCCCAGTCATCAGAAATGAAAATTGGTGCTTGAGCGCAACCCTCTTTAAGCTCACTATCAAAAGGAATCATGACCTTATTCATCTTCTGGTGAGTCATCATGTATCCTTGGATCCAGTCTCACAGGATGTCTCCGAGCAGATCGTAATGTTTCTGGTTAATAAACTTGAATTTCTTATTTTCATCTGTTTGTCTAAACTTAGTCATGCCATCTTCCTCATCTTTGAAAATGTGGTATCCCATTTTCTTAAGCTTAGAGGTCGCTTCTTCATAAAACTCTTGGGCTGGACTTGTTGCAGATGAAACTTCTTTAGATTCCTCAGACACTTCACCTGCATCTTTTGACACTTCTTCTTTATCCATTTCTATTAAATACTGATATTATTTATAAAAATCTAACAATTTAAAAATTGTTTTGAGGGGTTTTGGGGTTTTGGGGTTTTGGGGTTTTGGGGTTTTGGGGTTTTGGGG